GGAGGAGCTGGAAGCAGAGCTGGGAAACTCTCAGGTCGCTGCTCAGATCCTTGCTGGAGCGGGGGAGCCTCTCCTGCTGGCTGCAGCCTCTCGTAGGGGATCCTGGAGCCCAGTGGGGGCCTCTCCTGCTAGCCACACGCCGTGCTGCTGAGGGTCCCACTGCTGCCTGCAGGGCCTGCTCTTTCAGGCTCTTCCAGGGCACTGCTCCTGCCCCGCTGGCTCAGCTCTTGCCAGCTCTGTGAAGCTCCTTCCTTGTTGTCCCTTGCTGGTCTCTCCCGAGTCAGCCCACGCTGCCCCTTTTATCCCCCTCCAGGTGACCCAAGGGGCCAATCAGGGGACACAGGGGGTGAGACTCTGGGGCCTGATTGGTGCGGAAAGGGAATCCCAAGTCCTCCAATCATCTTTTGCCCTTTCAAAACCCCTGGGCCAGGTCACTGCCAGCCAGCCCGTCACACTGCCGTCTCAGCCTTTCCTACCTGGCTGTTATTTTAACTTTGGGTTTCACAGTAATCTGTTGTGAGAGAAGCTGCTGCTGTAAACATACTTTAAAAATAATTATCAGAATATTGATTTCCAGTTAAGGAACTATGTTGATGGGTCCTTTGCTTTCAGGGTGGGAAAAATAGGTATGCTGGGGAAGCCACAAGTGCATTGGGAGTGATGGGATGAACGAATGGGCAAGGGGCTTTGTGCAGGAGCCTGCTCAATGCATGGGGAAAGGGAACATGGTGATACCTGCTGCTACCCCCTCCAAGAATTTTGAATAGCTGCATTAATAGGCTCCAGATGGGGATATGCCTAGCTGTACTAATGAACAGAGGTGGGGAAAGCAATGGAACGGGCTTGAAGAACTTGAACAGATGCACTAAGCCAGCACTGTTTTGCTGGGCAGTGCCTCAAGTGGAATCTCTTGTTTTACTTACCTAACTCTTTTGTAATAACTAAAAAATAATCTTTTTCCTACAAAGGGTAATCTTTTATTTTGATTTCTTAGTTGCCAAAGAATATACATTTGGCCCAGGGAGCCACATCCGGTATCAGCTTCCTGTTGCTGTGTCTTCCCGCAGAATGCTCTTAGAGGCAATGATTAGGACACGACAGCTTGACAGTGTCATTGTGAGCATGGCTTCTCGGAACAAGGATGAATACATCATCCTGCAGGTGAGGTTATAACCCTCCAACCCATTTTGGCCAGTTATGGGCAAAATGGCAACTTTGTGTTTACATTATCCTACAAGACCAGAAGTACCCATCTCCAAAATTGTACTGTACAGTTCTATTTGTCAGCTTTTTCAAATATGTGTAGGATAAGGTCCTGTTTCTCTATTTGTTAAGTAGATTTTACACTGTAATTCCAGGAGTTTCAATGGATTTATATCCATGTAAAACAGGACCACAGGAACTACCACAGACAATAGATAAGTAGTCCTTCTAGTCTGGTGTCCTGTGTGACTCTAGCTGGAGACAGCTATGTTAAAATGTTGGCCTTGTAGCAACTCTGCAGCAGGAATACAGAATTCAGTTTTGATTCTTTTTGGCCAGGAAAGATACCATTGGATTATGCCCTGTGACCTTGGCCCTAAATTGAAAATATTAGACTGATTCTACGTAGGCCATCAAGTGGTAATCCTCACTAATCACTACTGAGCTGCACTTGTTGGACCCATCAGGAAAGAGTGACACTGTAGCACACTCCCAACCATGTAACCATCTGTTTGCTTTTGTCACAGGACTTGGATACCTGTCACATTAACACTGGGGTAAAATGCATCAATAAGCAAAGGTATACAGGTGTATCCCAATGTGGGATCCACCACAGGCAGACAACCAGGTATCCTAGGGTAATTACCACAGCAGCACAATTTTGGTGCCTCACCTAGGTGCAGGAAGCAGGTAATAGGCTATTTGCATCTAGTAAATGGCTACTTTTGGATAACTGCAGACATACAACACTTAAGCCAGTGAAATTTCAACTGATAAATTTCCAGGATAAGTTTACATGGATTGTAGTAATTTCCACTGTTGTAAGGCTATATATTGTATAACCCCTGCCTTTTTAATGCTGGATTAAGGCAAATACAGTGCTATAAATTTGTCCTGTATCTAAGCTCTGTACTCATAGAAAATCAGGATGTATTAATTTGCATGGGTATCATCAGTGCATGGGTATCTAAGTTACTACCAGTGCTCAAGCTAGCTAGTTTAACCTAGCAGGTTTATCTAGGCTTCAGTCCCTTTTTTCAAAATTGCTGACTAATTAAGATATATTAGATACAAATAACCTAACAGATCAAATACTGGACAACAGATTGATTCTCCTTTTCTTTTTAATACTCTGTTCATAATCCCCAAGGTGTCTCAGGGATTCTTAATGGCTTCGTATAACCTGGGTGATGGAAACTATACTGTAAATCTTTCCTCCTACAACATTGGCAATGGTGAGTGGCATCATATCACCTTGGAGAGAATTGAGAATGAATTCACCCTTCGCCTGTATGAAGGAGGTGGGAAGAGAGAAACACTTAGAGCAGCAGGAGTTTACAGAGAAATTATAATTGATCCCAGCAGTTTGGTGCTTGGAAATACTTACCCTTTCAATCCAAATCAGAGTTTTCAAGGTAAGGATTCCCTGGCTTAACTGTTGTAGAATGTGGGGTATCAGTCGGAGGGTTTTTTGGTACTACGTGTGAACATTGAGACATTCATCTCCTTTATAAAGCCTGAGTTAGATGGAGTTTTTGGAAGGCAAGTTTGTGGGCATTTGCAGGAGACAAAATACAACATTCACAGAAGGAAAAAGGTGCTGGAATGTGCCACATTGGGTTAGGAAGGGTCTGGACACCTGACAAAACCCTCTCCTGGCCAGACTGCAGGGTCCAGGGATGGAAACCAAAGTCCTGAGGTACGTGGGGAAGCAGGAGACATGGAGGAAGAGCAAGCAGGAGGGGGCAACAGGAGAGGTGCTTTTATGCTTCCTGAGAAATTAGGGCAATCACTAGTTGCCTCACATGCCTATACACAAATGCATGGAGCCTGGGAAATGAACAGGAAGAACTGGAAGTCCTCGCAGAATCATAGAGCTATGACGTGATTGGAATAACAGAGACTTGGTGGGAGCTCGCATGACTGGAGCACTGTCATGGATGGGTACAAACTGTTCAGGAAGGACAGGCAGGGGAGAAGAGGAGGAGGAGTTGCTCTTTATGTAAAAGAGCCATATGCTTGCTCAGAGCTCCAGTATGAAGCTGGAGATAGGCCTGTTGAGTCTCTGGGTTAGGGTCAGAAGGGAGAGCAACAAGGGTGATGCTGTGGTGGGGGTCTGCCATAGACCACTAGACCAGGAGGAAGTGGTGGATGAGGCTTTCTTCAAACAGCTAGTGGAAGTTTCGTGATCACAGGCTCTGGTTCTCATGGGGCACTTCAATCACCCTGACATCTGGTGGGAGGGCAACATGGCAGTGCACAGGTGATCCAGGAAGTTTTTGGAGAGTATTGGGGATAACTTCCTGGTGCAAGTGCTGGAGTGGCCAACTAGGGGCCATGCTCTTTTTGACCTGATGCTCACAAACGTGGAAGACTTGGTGGAGAAGGTACTAGTAGATGGCAACTTGGGCAACAGTGACCACAAGATGATCGAGTTCAGGATCCTGAGGAAAGGAAGGATGGGGAGTAGCAGAGTAAGGACCCTGGACTTCAGAAAAGCAGACTTCAGCTCACTCAGGGAACTCATGGGCAGGATCACCTGGGAGCCAGTCTGAGGGGGAGAGGAGTCCAGGAGAGCCGGCTGTCCTTTAAAGAAGCCTTACTGAGAGCGCAGGGACAAACCATTGCAATGTGTAGGAAGACTAGCAAGTATGGCAGAAGACCAGCTTGGCTTAGCAGGGAGCTCTTTAGTAAACTAAATCACAAAAAGGAAGCTTATAAGAGGAGTAATAATTAGAGAGGAGTATAAGAGCATTGCTTGGGCAGGCAGGGATGAAGTCAGGCAGGCCAAAGCACAATTGCAGTTGCAGATAGCAAGGGATGTGAAGGGTAACAAGGGTTTCTACAAGTATGTTGGTAGCAAGAGGAGGATCAGGGAAAGTGTGGGTCCCTTGCTGAATGGGGGAGGTAACCTTGTGACAGAGGATGCAGAAAAGGCTGAAGTGGTCAGTACCTTTATGAGCCAGCAGCGTGACTATGAGCCAGCAATGTGTCTTTATTGTCAAGGGAAGTTTAGGTTAGATATTAGGAAGAATTTTCTCACTGGGAGGGTAGTAAAACACTGGAACTGGTTACCCAGAGAGGTGATGGAAGCTCTGTCCTCGGAGGTTTTCAAAACCTGGCTAGATAAAGCTTTGGCTGGGATGATCAGGAGTTGGGGATAGTTCTGCTTTGAGCAGGGGGTTGGACTAGATGACCTCCTGAGGTCCCTTCCAGCCCTAACTTTCTTTGATTATGTGAGTACGTATGCAGAACTGGTGAACAGCTCCATTCTGCTCTGTGCACATATTGACCAGCAGCCCAAGCCTCCAAAGCAGAACGTGGGATAAGGAAATACCAGCTCTGAAGAAAGGAAGGTAGTTCTGGTGATCTGCCACCAGACTGGGAATGCCCGAGTCCTACATTCTTGTCACAACTACTGTCCTCATTAATTATTTGCATTTCTACACTGATTTAGTCATGACCATGACTCCATTGTGCTAGACACTGTACAAAAACAAAGGGAAAGATAGTCCCTGCCTCAAAGAGGATATATACACTAATAACCTACAACATCCATGTTACACAGATGGCTTTTTTAACAGATGCTGTGTGTTTTGTTGGTGGTAATTGCGTAACATTTTTGCCAAGAACTGGAGACTGTGGTTAGTCTTTTCTTAGCCTAGAATGTGCAAGTAAGCCATTAGCCCAGGAAATGGAATTTAAAGTCATACAGTTGTTGGTGGCAACTTTAATTGAAACAGAAATCTGTCTAATATTACTGTCACTCATTGCCATGCAGCCTCATCTACCCGAGTGTTATTAAAGGGCCTTTAAACTCTACAGATGCATGTTATTGACTGAGGTTTATGTTTCCATATGCATGTCTGATGTGTATACATTGGGAGTCCTGTCCCCCTGGCACTTAATACATCTATTGCTATTTGTTTAGTAACTCAATGCCTCTGACTGTTAATGGTCTTTTTATTATACAAATTGAAGACTTTAATAAAATACAATTTCTAAAAAGATCCACTACCACCATTATTTAAATGGGTAATCATCTGTTACCCCCTTCTTCTGGCTATTTGTCCTTTTCCTTAGAAATCTTAGTAAAGTGGTGACATGTTAAGTGTGGAGCACTCTCCCCAGATGGTGACCTGGATTTGAGGATTGCTCCAGCTCCAAACTTTAGAAAGTCTGGCTCTAGATCCAGTCCATGTCTCTTTAACAGGTTGAATCAAAGCTCCAGGTCACTGTCTTCCACCCCCACAATTCGTGGAGATATTCAGACCTAGATCTGAACTTTCTGGCTTGAGTCCACTATTATAGTACTGACAACTCTTTCAAATAGTTCAGCTGAACAGCTTTCAAAACCAAACATTCTCCATTTTTTGCCCTAGGATGTATGAGGGATGTCAGATTTAATAACTACAGGATGCCTCTGGATACTCACACTAAGGAGCTGGTGTCAGTATTAAGTGTCCAAGGAGTGAAAGAAGGCTGCTCTTCAGAGGCCTGTAGGAACAACCCCTGTAGCCAGCAGTTTATTTGTGTTGACTTGTGGATGATGCATGAATGCAGGTAATTGGGGAAATCAGGAGCACAGAAAACTCCACAGCAAGGTGGGAGGACGTGGATGATAAAAAGTATATCAGTTGCATCCTGCCGCTGGAAGAAAAACCAAACCCTCCCATAAGAATCATCCAGTTAAACATCAGTGAAACACTGCACAAATTCTGCCCTTATTTATGCCTCTACAACTTCATTGGTTTTGTTGAGCTTACTTAGATGTTAAAGCAAAGTGCAAACTGTCCCTGTTTGCAGCATCCTCAGCTGGTGTAAATCAGCATATTTCCATTAATTCCAGTAATGGTAAGCAGGTGGATACCAGCTGTCTCTGTTAGAGCTGCTTAAGGAGTGCAGCACATGCAAGAAAATGTTTGCCCACTTTGTAAAAACTGGAATTGGGTAGTAGTGTGGTTTAATTGCACTCAGAGGTGTCTGAAACAATCAACTCTGAGAGAATGTGGATATTGATGTGCATGGCATGCCCTTTAAAACCGCATGTAATGGTCAGTGTGAATCAGAGGAAGTGATTGCCATCAAATGCTATAACTTATTGTTAAGACTAAGTTCCTCACAACACTGCAGGGACTTTGTTTTAAGGGTTAAAACAAACGCTTGAAATATTTATTTTTAAACAAAAGTCCCTGTTTTTCAAACCAAGATATTTAGCTAACTTCAAGATGTAATTTTCCCAACACCTAGGAAGGGTGTTTATTTCAGCTGATAACCTACAGTTAGATTCAGTTTTTAAATATTCAAAAGTTTCCTGAACATTAGTTTGAGATGAAGCATCAGTCCATTCTTCATTCTAATGCTGTCTCCACTGCTGAGTAAACCTACCCCCTCCTGAGCTAAACTAGCTTGCATGAATATGGCCAGAACATAAAACAGGACAGAATGATGTACCAGCAACATGAGAGTGTTTGGCTATGCCAGTGCAACACAGCGTAGTCCTGTGCAGAGCTCAGTAAGTTAGCTCTCAAGAAGCCAACTCAGGTACAAGAAGCAATGTGTCTGCATTAGCATGGTTTTTCACCTGGACTGACTAACTCTACCAAAAAGCAAGTTAAATAGCTCTTTTTAAATATGTCTATAAATTGAAAGTGCAAACTTGTTCAGAGCTAGCTTGGATATCTTGCACAGCACTGCATTTTACTGTCTAGATGTACCAGTTGCATTAGAAGCTAGTGAATTGCACTAGCTCATGCTATAGCTCAGGGATTGTCAACCAGGGATATGCATACCCCTGGGAGTACTTTGAAAAGTCCCAGGTGGTATGTGGGGACGGATCGCTACCACCCCACGCTGCTGCCTCTCAGGAGCAGGGCCAGGGCAGGGCGAGAGCAGGGTTGTACAGATGCTGCACAGCCACTGCTCCAGCACTCACCATGCCCCTGCTTGCTCGCCAACCTCCTCCCCCAGGGTACACTTATTAAAAAGGAGGCTGCCAGGGGTACAGTTATTAAAAAAGGTTGAAAACCCCTGCTATAGCTTACATCCCTCTAAAGGCCAGCCACATTGAGTTAAAAGCACTGCCTTACTCAGAGTAAGAGTTCTTGGGCATGGGCAGGTCTCAAGTTGGAAGCAACACTTAAATTATAACATCAGTTAACTTTGCAATGAAAATGAGCCCCTGGTGTACACCCATTTGTGTTTGTTTCAGTTACGGTAATTCGGTACCAACCGTATAGCCCTTTTCTTGGCTTCAGAGAACACTAGAGCAGTGGTCACCAACCTGGGGATCCCGATTGACAGGTAGATCCTGGAGGCTCTTTGGGTTGATCCTGGGCTGAGGGAACAGCTGAGCGCACACGTATGCGCACACCTACTACCCTCAGCCCCAGCAGGTCAATGTGTGGGGGAGGTAAGGGGTGGGGGCCAGATCAAGGCCCCCGCGGTGAGCAACTAACCGTGCTGCCCAGCCAGGAACAGGCAAAGGTAAGTGGGGCACCAGCCTGGCTAGGTGATGGGAGGATTGGAGCCCAGGGGTGCTGGTGGGCCTCCTCCCCATCTCTATGGGGGTGGAGACGGCAGAGGAAGCTGCTGCTGCACCTTGAGTCCTGCTGCAGCTGGCCACATGGGCGTGACTCAGCTTAGCAGCGGGGACTCACGTGGGCGCAGCTCCAGCCCAGGCAGGTCTGGGACTATCTGGTTGTCCAGGGGCGCGTGGGGGTGGGCAGCCCGCAGCAGCAGCAGCTACCTTGTCCCAAGCACACGTGTGTGTGTGTGGGGGAAACAGGCCCCCGGGACCTCCATCAGGCTATACCCAGCGGCGGGAGTCCCCCCCACATGCGCCCCTGGATTGTGAAGTGTCCCAGACCTGGCTGGGTTGGGTTGGGGCCCAATCCCACTTCTGTCGTGGCTGTGCTGAGCCATGCCTGCCTGTTGGCCAGAAGTCTGCATGGTCCAGGGGCACGTGTTGGGGGCTCCCGCTGCTGGGCACGGGAGGTGGATGTGGGTAGGGGGGGTGCAGTAGATCCTGATATGCCCTTTACTTCTAAAAAGTGATCTTCACCATCAAAAAAGTTGGAGACCACTGCTCTAGAGACGCGCTGCTGAAGTAGATACTACACTAGATACCTTTGTACTAGGAGATGGCTTAGGAGTACAGCATGTGCCCCAAGGCTGGTAGAATGTTTTCAGCACTCTGTCATGTCTGCTCTTAATAAGGAGTTTCACTGTTTTATTCTGTATTTGTCTTCTCAGTTGCCCCCCAGGACACATGATCATGGAGAATGCCACAGGCAGGCACTGTGTCTATACCGCATGTGCCAAAAGACCCTGTAACTTTGGTACGTGTATCTCCCAGTCTCCAACCAAGTTCCGATGTCACTGCCCTGATGGCTACACTGGCCAGAACTGTGAAATCACGCTGGCTGTCTTCCGCGAGGATGCAGGCCTGAGCTTCAGCTCCATATTTGCCATCTGCATTTGCTTCTTGACGCTCTTAGGTAGTTATGGCAACTATGTCTTGTATTATCTTTGGTGATTTAATCTGTATGTCCATCCTTTCTTGTCTGGATTCTCATGGTATCTGCCTTTGAAGAATCTGCTTTCTAGCAGAGAATGGACTGTGCTCTCACAGCATTGTCCTCGCTGGTCCATCAATAAACACTTTAACTTTTCATCCCTTATGCAGACATTATGCAGCAAATCAGTAATTCATCTGAGGAAAGCCCTTGTAGTTTTATTTTCTGCACCTTTGCATTCCATTTCTAAGAAATCGTGCAGAAGGTGCAAGTGGAGTCAAATTTTAACTGATCTCAAGGAAGGGGATGGCTAGGAGAAAAACATAAATTAAAATTCAGCCAGTCACAATGAAATAAATTCTTTAGGAATAAAAATTGTCCAGATAGGAATAAAAGACAAGTGAACCTTTGGCTTGTGAAGCATTTTAGTTATAGTTGTGAATTATAATTGCTGATTTTTTTTTTTTTTGTGTCTTCTGGGCCCCTTTGCAGGCTTGGG